TGTGTTTTTCTGTCAATATGGGGTGCTGTGTGTACATTAATGAGGAAAAAAATGAACTTAAATGATTTTAGCATATGGCTGCAATATAACAAAGAGTGAAAAATTTAAGGGGGTCTGAATACTTTCCGTACCCACTGTACATTCTACATTACTGGAAGCTGATATAGAGATGAATATAGTTGTGATGGCTGTGCATTCAGTAAAGAGCAGGGGGAAACGGCCACTCTAGCTTTGTCAAAGGCACTTTCTGGACTTTAAAAGTATTTACAAGGCGTATCTCGTGTGTTTTACATGTGTGGCAAAAGAAGACGGCGTGATGGTTTACTAAGTAGTTGGCTCACACATTGGCGCTGTTAGCTTACAACAGCTGGTCTCTGGCTCTACACAGTACTATACTTATAATGAAGTTCTCATTTGTGCCCACTCTCATTCTAAATAAAACCCTTGTGAATTTTGGATTTGTGACTCATACAGTTACTAACAAGATGCAGCATGATAGTAAAGCCATTTTGGTGCTGATTAGAAGGGATTCTTTCTTTCAGGTCTAGCTGCTTTCAGTGCTTCCAGTGTCTGTCATAGCTGTCTCTGCTGTATACACAAAGATGTTTTGTGTTCTCCATAGCTAACTCCTAATAGACATAGGTGACCAGTTATAGGAAAAACCTACATAAAATATCTCAACGAGGTACTGGGCCACCTTGTGGCACCAGAACAGCTTCAGTGCACCCACATAGGTGACCAGTTACAGGAAAAACCTACATAAAATATCTCAATAAGGTACTGGGCCACCATGTGGCACCAGAACAGCTTCAGTGCACCTTGGCATTGCTTCTATAAGTCTCTGGACTGTACTGGAGGTACTGGTGAACTCCATTCTTTCAAAAAATATTGCCTCAGTTGGTGTTTTGTTGGTGGTGGTCAAGATGTTGTCTAACACTTTGGTCCAAAACATCCTGTAAGTGTTCAGCTGGGTGGATATCTGGTGATTGTGAAGGCCACAGCATATGATTCACAGCATTTTCATACGCCTCAAACCTTTTAGTGACCCCTTGTGCCATATGGATGGGGACACTGTCATCCTGAAAGAGACCAATCATTTAGTCAAGGTTTTTGTTTTAATTTGTCACCTGTCTGTGGGAAAGTCAAATGTATTTATTTGCGTACAGAAAGGCCTCTGACTGTGTGTAAAAGAACATGTATATCTTTATGTGTTCAGGAGCGGATGCAGGCCAAGGAATTGTGGCAGACAACAGCCCAGGAGCTGGACCACCTCCAGCAGGTCTACCAGAAGACCATTTCTGATGGACAGATCCACGATGGACAGAGACAGCAGATCAAGGTTCAGTATTCCCACCCACAGAGCCAGCAAATTATTAACACACAAGCTTTTCACCACTAGATGGAGCCATTATCACAGACATGAGGTTAATTTGATGATTTGGCCTCAGTTAATGCTTGATATTAAGCATGGGGTAAACACAAGCAGTTAACTTTTATTGAATACCCTATTTTTTTCATCACAGGATCAGCTTGTTCAGTTCCAGCAGCACACACAAAAACTCCAAATAGCCAATCAGAAACTGGAATCGGTAAGTGACGGTTAATTAAAAGTGTGTTAAATTGTTGCCTCCTAATTAGCTATGGGATCGAAATGCTGTGCACTTCTCTGAAATGAACCTTGGTCCAATAATTAATCTTGCAACAAAGTGAATCGGTTTCTAAATCACTCTGGTAGTCGGCCAGAATGGTCTTGGTTGTATAATAGACTGTGAGCTTGCTTGGTAATCCTTTAACTGCCTTATATTTTTCTTTGTTCAACACATACTGTTGTACACTTGTCTGTCTCCCTCTCACACCCACACCTAAAAATGCTTTCAGCGCCAAACAGTTTAAACAGTTAACCTGACTGTGGCACTTTTGGAGATAAAGTGTACAGTATATTGTGCACGTATTTATCAAAACAAAAACCAATGTATACGTACACATGCCTGCTGTTTACTTAGGACAAAGTGTGACGAGAGAGTAACACTATATCTCTGTGATGCATATTTAATGAGAGGGCAAACCTTGGGCCTTCCCCTGTTGACTTCTCATACAGGCAGCCTTTTTCACTCACTGTATGTGAGAACACTTGACTTTGTAGCAGTGAATGACTGACAGAGGTTCTGTAGGGTTTGTTCTAAAAGGGCAAGGTTTTGAGAGAGAAATTTCTGGGGAAAGTTGGTTTCAAGATAAAGTTTGTGGTGTGTGTTTAAAGCCATGCCACACAAATGGCAGTCTTGTGTCTCTTGCCACACACAGACTAACCGGCAGTTCCTGAAGACGGTGACAGAGCAGAGCACAGAGATGGAGGAGCTACACAGCCAGCTCAGGTAACTAAATATCATGGAGATTCAAAATGGCTGCTGCCAGAAGTCTTGTTCTCTGAAGGTAGAATACCAGGTACACCCCATCCTGAAGTTTGACAGTAATTTCTCCCCTCAGCTGTGAATTGAGCATCACGTCAAAGGGTTTGTCCCTGTGTGCATGGCCACCAAGTGCATCAGCAGAGATCATGAAAGTTTCTGTATTAAATGGGTTCATATACACTGAACAGATTGTTCTATTTGAAAGAGTCTCAACTTCATGTTGTGCCAGTGGAATGTGCACAGTGTTTTCATTGTTAAAATAGTTTTTGCTGTATATATTAATTGTGGTTATGCATTAGAATCTACCATTACCTTTTAAGTGAAAGGAGCATTTGTAGGAAATACGCTTATTTGCTTCCTTGCCAAGAATTTGATGAGAATGTTCCACTCCCGTATCTGTACAGTAAATATGAAAATACAGCCAGGAGCTAAAAACAGCAAATGGGGAAGGCTAAACTTGGTTCTGTTGGAAAGTAACAAAATCCAGCTGCAAACCCCAATAAAGCTCAACATGTTGCTTTTAGTTAGTTTAATCTTTTCAAAACTGAAGTGTCTTCAACAATGAAGTTTAGAGGTGCTGGTAGACAGAATTGGTTACTTTTAAATGGAGCCAGGCTAGCCTGTTCCTCATTTCCACTTAGTAGGCCAAGCTAATCTGATTAGCTGTTGGCTAGCTTCTTATTTACCATAAATGAGAGTGCTATCAATATTCTCATCTTACGCTGAGCATAAAGGTGAGTAAGCACATTTTCTAAAATGTTGACCTATGAGCTTTTAGTGTAATAACCACATAAGACAGCTATAAGCCAGCTGCCAGTTTTTTATGTTATGTGACTGAACTGTTTTTGTAGGCAGACCAAGGCTGAGCTAAGGACAGCCACAGCCAAAGTGGGTGAGATGACCAAATTGCTGCACAATGTCCAGGACCAGGCTCAGAGACGGGTGAGAGAAGAGAAAAAGACATTGCCGAGGAAAACTGGAGTGGGGAAGGCAGTGCAGAACTCGATCAGGACATGCACTGAGCTAGTGCTTAAACAACAGAAACAGCTGATTTTAGATATCAATAAATATGAAATGAATTTTCCGATCTGGTTATTTTGCCTGTTGAGCATCACTTCGGGCTGTAGTAGTCATGATTTTATTATTTAGTTTTTTTAACAGAATTGATCTGTTGATTTATTCTGTAATGAAAATCCCATTTTATTGCAGCTCTCTTACAGCCACATGTGTATGTATTTAGGAGGAAGATGTGGCACAAGCTCAGGGCCGAGAGGATGCAGCAGAAAGAAGGCTTCAGCAGCTCCAGGCAGCCTTGAGCCTGATTGAAGCCAGGTGAGCATCTTGTGGCTTTTTTCCACTAGATCTGACTGCTTTGCGCTTCGTCTGCGATCCAGTTCCGATCCCCCACTAGGTGCATCTGCAGATTGGCTTGTTGTGGTGCTGATTTTATGTGTAGGCTATATTTTCTGGTTGTTGAGCTTCTACAGTAAGCAGACTTTATAATGGTTTCTTTTTTTGTCTGTTTTAATTGTGTTTATTGTTCTTATTTCCTACTTTTGCTGTAGCCTACAGACAAAGACTACAGTTAGTGGTTAAATTTAATTTAACAGTCACAGTTAGGTCACTATGAAACATGAATCAAAAGATTTGTGGCTGTGTTTCAGTTATTAACAATTCATTCATCCTTATAGGCTAATCAATTTGTATCACATAGATATCCCTCAGGTAGAGCGCTATTTTATTGGTGGGTTGAACTTTATCAGATGCAGCATCCATCAGAAATAGACTAGATGCGTATCTTTAGCGAAGTGGAAGGGAGAACCGCATGTGGGATGGATCGAAGACGTAACGGAGCCGGACCCAGTGGGAACACACCCCCATTGACTAGACTGGCAGTAATCAGCTCTGACGATCAAGCCACAGGCAGAACACAATGTGGCCAGATCCGGTGGAAATTAGGGGTTAGACTGCTGCTTCACCTGTAATCACTTTTCCACCTTCTGTCCAGTGTTGACATCAATTTAACAGATAACTGTAGTTGAGGTATATGTAGCTGAAGCAGTTTTGGAAAATCATGGTGTTTCACATTAGCGTTATAGGGTTCAGTTCCCTGTCTTTTGCCTAGCTACTGTTACTCACTCCTTTTCTGCATTGCCAGGCTAAAAGCTGCATCTCAGGAGGCAGAGGCTGTCCGTAGAGAGCAAACTGTGTGGGAGAGAAAGGTTGGGGAACTCCAGGCTCGCTGCACCACCCTAGAAGAGGAGAAGTATGAGGCTCTAGCCAAAGTGCGAGAGAGCGTTCAGGTGGCAGATGAGGCCGAGTTGCAGAAGAACCATGTGATTGCACTCACTCATTTTTGTCTCTTCCTTTCTTATTTCGTTGTTTCCCTGTTTTCTTTAGTCTTTTTCACTGGCCAAGCCTTCCCTCAGTTTGTCGAGCAGTCTGACAAGTCTTCACACCCCTTCAGCACAATAGAACTGACGTGTAGTTGTGTCTGCCTTTACCCTCTCCCTTCAGGCCTTGTTAAGAGAGAAATTGAAGATAGAAGAGTTGGAGAAGACAAAGGAGGCCATCAAACAGCTGATCCAGGACGCTGCAGTCCGAACAAGGAAAGAGGTAAAGACTTATTAAATGGCTTTCTGGAAAATAAATGTTTTGCATTTTCTACTTTCTAATGTGCTTTTAAGGTATTTTAAGGTACCAGTGAATGAATCACATCATTATTTGGTACCACTGGATGATGCGCTGACATTTGGTGCTAAGTCTGTACACTTTGTTGGATTTAGTTTTACAAACTCCAGCTGTTCCACTTCCTCAGCCCTTGTTTTTTTTTTTTTGTTTTTTTTTTAAAACACAATGTACTGAGTCAAAAGCAAAACCTTGTGCTCTGCCCCTGCCCAACCTCAGTCGGTGACATGGTGATTAATGCTCTATTGATGGGTTTTTTTCATCAAGGTCTCGAACACTTTAATCCTGTTAATGAGGCCTGGTATGACTGCAGTGCTGGCTGTCATGTTAGTCTTTGGCTGGCCTTCAGAAGATGGTAATTTTGAGAATAGCTTTTGATGCATTAGATGTTCTGTGAGTTACAGACCTTTTTGTGTCTTTGGCTTTTAACCTTCCAGGTGATTTTCAGAGGATGAGATTAAATGTTCCAGCCTAGGTGAAGCAATTATTTAACCTTAATCTCATGTCTTCCTCACTTAATGTCACAAAGTGTTTAGCCAAGTATGTGTAATGAAAAATTATTTCAAAAATATTACACTACATTGGTAGTCAGACCTCAAAGTCTAGCTGAGGGCTTAAGTCCCACTCACAGTTATGCATGAGGGTTGGCATTTTCCAAAATAAAGGTTTGTCCAGAGTTATCTGATATTCAGCCTCAGAGCTTAAAGACATCCTGTGGAGTTTTGACCATTACTAGTGTTATAAAGCAGTGTTTTTAAGAGTTGGGATCAGGTTTGGTTTGGAATCTGTGCACAAGCATGAGGAGACACGTGTACTTGGTTTATGTGATAGGGAGTCCTGCTAAAGGCTTTGCATGATTCCACTGAGGGACACTTGGTGGTAGTAACGTGCCAAAAAATGTAGCAACATGCCAGCACGTGTAAATGTAAGACTGTATATCATCAACAAATCCAGAGGGAAATGAAGAAGCTTTTCTGATGAGAAGTGGAAAGTCTTCAACAAACTCATGCAAGTCCAGTTGACTGCTTTTCTTTTTATTTTATTTTTTTTATTTACACATGACCTGGGGCCTCATTGTGCTATTCAGTGCTTGGATAATTTTCATATTCAATACTGGGATCCTGTGGTTCATGTAACAGCCTAAAAATAATGAATCTCATCTTTCATTGTCACTTACTAGGGGAGTACTTACTTGGGGAGGCGACAGTGGTGCAGTGGGTAGAGCAGTCGTCTCCCAACCGGAAGGTTGAAGGTTCAACTCTCACTGCCTGCAGTCCACATGTTGAAGTGTCCTTGGCTCTGTTTAGTGGATAGTAAAAAGGTGGCAGAAATTGAAGAGAGAGAGAAAATGCGCAACAATGGTCCCCTGGGCCAGTCCCAGAACACTGAGACTGAAGCCCAGGCTTGTGTCACTTCTTACACGTAACTTTTTTTAAAAACTATTGTAGAACTGATTTGCTATAAATGAGTCAATTCAGTGACACAGTGAGTGAGTCGATACCTAATGGTTGCTATCTTGTGAAAAGATTTTTAACTAGAACTAAATGTACTTTTAAATATTTTTAAATAAGGTCAACACATAGCACTATATCAAACCTAAGATTATATATTAATACCTGAATATCCATCCATCCATCCATTTTCCTCCGCTTATCCGGGACCGGGTCGCGGGGGCAGCAGTCTAAGCAAAGATGCCCAGACTTCCCTCTCTCCATATACTTCCTCCAGCTCTTCCGGGGGAATGCTGAGGCGTTCCCAGGTCAGCCGAGAGACATAGTCCCTCCAGCGTGTCCTGGGTCTTCCCCGGGGCCTCCTCCCGGTGGGGCATGCCCGGACCCCCTCCCTAGGGAGGCGCCCAGGAGGCATCCGAAACAAATGCCCGAGCCACCTCAG